TATCGCCCCTTGGGCGCAGGCCCTGAACGCTCTCATCCCACGCGCCGCACGGCTGGGGAGGAGCCCGGCGGTCTCAGGCGCGAGCTGCTAAGAGGAGGACGCGGGGCCGGACACACGCTGCTTGCCAACGACAGGGCCACACGCCCAGGGACGTTAATGGGACGGGAGGACACAAGATGGCCGCCCTGTGGGCTGTCCTGCACCCAGAGGCCTTTGTGCTGAGCTGCCGGCTCTGACCCAACCCCACTTTAGCCACAATCCCCCCTGGGCTTGGCTCCTCCTGTGTTTCTCCTCTCAGCTCTATGGCTGCTGGGAGGAAAGCAGCAGGCAGCCTCCCACCCTCCCTCCCGCTTGCCTGCCTGCCTGCTGCTGCCCAGGCATGGTTGCCACATGGGGAGGGTCCCGCAGGTTAATATCCCTGGCACAGGCTGCAGGGAGGGAGTGGGGGGAGGGGGGACGACATTGGCCCTTCCTTTCCTGGTTGTCTTCACAAAAAGATGCCCAAAGAGCCACTGTGCCGGGAAGAGAAATGTCCCAGTTGCCCCTACTCTTGTCCCCTTAGCAATGTGCACAGGGGAGTCGGCTTTCCCTGTACTTTTGGCCTCGGTTAAGCCCCTTTTCATCCACAAGCCAGGCCCAGCCCAGGGCTAGCCCTGCTTTCACGAGGCAGGTGGATCTGCCATGGAGAGGGCCAAATTTAGCTCTTAGCGACACCCCTGCACACCCTGGGGAGACCACAGGCTTGCACCGACCGCAGACTGTAGCCCACTGCGCTGTGTGTACACACATTCCCTCCCCCTGCTTCTCCAGTCTAGCCATATTGCTTTGCACCAGTGATTTAAAACCTGCTGACATGGCCAGGGCTGAGGTTGCTGTTAACTCTCTCAGCTGCCCTATGGTCCGTTGGGAATAACATTCCCAGGCAGGGGAGAGAGACAGGGAGTAGCAGGACACAGGGGCTGCAAAACCCACACATCAGAAAACGCTGAGGAGACTTAGCAAGACCGTCTCACGCCAAAAGTGTCTGGAACCGCATGCATCCCTTAGCCCTTCCCCGCAAGAGCCAGCGAATGGTTTTCTCTGTTGCTGCTGCCTCATTTTCTTTGTCGCACACTCTTGCCCACATAAGAGCTACCCTCGGGGAAGCTGTCCTGCTCCTGTTGTATTTTTGGCCACTGAAATACTAGATTGTAAAGTTTTTGGGGGAGGGCTTCCCCCAGAGGGTATGTCTACACTCGCACCCTCTTCCGAGAGAGGGATGCAAATGAAGACATTCGAAATTGCAAATGAAGCGGGGATTTAAATATCCCGTGCTTCATTTGCATATTCGCATTATGGCGCTATTTCAAAATAGCAGACGTTGTTAAGACGCGGTAATTTCAAGAGAAAACCCTTCTCTGGAAAAAACTGATAAACCTTGTTGTATGAGGAATAAGGGTTATTTCGAGAGAAGGGTTTTCTCGCGAAATAACCACGTCTTACAAAAGCGGCGAGGAGTCCTGTGGCACCTTATAGACTAGTTAGGTGCCTAGTCTCTAAGATGCCACAGGACTCCTCACCGCTTTTGCAGATTCAGACTAACACACCTACCCCTCTGATACTTGACACCATGTCTTACAGGGGCTGTTATTTCGAAATAGCGCCATAACGTGAATATGCAAATGAAGCGCGGGATATTTAAATCCCGGCTTCATTTGCAATTCCGAATGTCTTCATTTGCATCCCTCTCTCGAAAGAGGGTGCAAGTGTAGACATAGTCAGAGGCTCCATTCCCGGCTGCCTCTCCCCTCAGATCTTTTGGTTCGAATGCAAGCGTAGTTAGCTCCTTTCAAACGGGGCTCTCTTCTGTCTATGCGCTGTTTGTCTAGGGGCTGTAAGCAATCGGAGGTAGAGTGACAGAGCCCAGACGCGGAGCAGCTGTGAGACAGAGAGGCGGCCAAAATTCAAGCACAAGAGGAAGTTTAGAAAAATAACAACCACTAAGGATGGCAGGGCGGCCCCTGCGGTTCATTACCTCTGAAAACTCTTATATATTACCTCTTCTCGTGGAATATAAGAAAAATAGACAATATACATCAATCGCTTGATAAATAAATGCCACAACCGGCCTTGGGGCGAAGGAGGCATGTCAGAAAAACAGGGTCAGAACCGAGAAAGGAGGCTGTGGAAGGAAACGGACGGAAGCTGTGAACACTCGGGTTTGGTCCCATTAAAAGGTCTCTGACTGGCTTCACTGCGAGCCACCATCAAACGGTTGGTAAACCACCCCTTGGCCGGCTCCAGCCCAGCTAGTTTGGGGAGCACAAAGCTCCTGCAGAGGCCCCAGGCTCAGTGTTTCTTAAACTTTTTAAGACCGAGGAATACCAAACATTATTTTTTTTTAATGAGGAACACTAATGATTTTTTGTTGTTGTTGAGCAAAAAAAAGGTTAGGAAGAAAAACAGAAAAAAAGTGTCGGGGGAAAGTAATTGAGCAAAAAAAAAAAGTCACCTGCCTCTTTAAGGGCGGCCATTTTTAATTCTGTTGTTCTCCTCGGCACACCTCCGACTGCCTCGCAGCACACCGGTGTGCTACGGAACACAGTTTAAGAAACACTGGTGTAGCTTCACGTTGGGCTTCCAGACTCGGGACAGGTCTTTCCTAGGGGAACCCTCCACAATGCCTTGCTGCTGGGACCGGCCTGCGTCACACGGCAAATCAGTTCTAGGAAAAGAAGTTCTATGCTCAGTGATATTTACCGACCGCTTTGCCTCTTCCTGTGTCTCTGCTCCCATCCCTCACCGCGGATGTGACTTTCTCCGCTGAGCAGCCGTTAGGACTTCGGAGGAATTGTCACTCGGGGGCGGGAGGAAGGGGGGTAGAGGAAGGGGCTCATGTGGGGTGGAATTTTCCAGGCGAAAGCTCTTCCCAGCCAGGAATCCAGACCTGCTTTAGAAAGACCCGCCTGCCATGGCTGCCTGGGGTCGGGGAAGGTTGGGAAGTCTCCCACCGTTCCCCAGGGAAGGAAAAGCTGCGTGGCTGGCCCAGCAGAGAGTTAAAGCAAAAAGGCTAGTGCAGTCTGAACTGCCCTTCCAGCCTGGTCACGGCAGGGCGTGTCCATATTGTCACAGAAGGGCAGGTTGCCTGGTAGGCCCAGTGCGGGAGAGGAGGGCTACTGAACGAGACTGCGCCTGACTCCTGCAGGTTGAATGCTGCCGGGTTTGCTGAGCTCCGACCGGGCAGGTGTTCCAAGCCTGCCCTGGATGGAAGAACTGTGACTTCACCCAGAAGCCAGCAGCACCACTCCAGCTGGCTTCAATAGGATGGTGTCCACCCCGGTTCTTAAGATCAGATACCCCCGCTGCAGCAGAGAGCTGAGACGGGAAGGGGACAGCCAGGCACAAAGACTCCAGCCGCATGCTGACAAGTTCAACTTCCCTCCACCCCCACTTCCTGCCTGCATCCGTCTGGCTTCGAAATGCACAAGCCAGGCCAGTACTCGGAGGACCACGCGGCACCTTCAACTGCCGTCCCGCAGAGGCCGGGAAAATCCACCTGAGATTTTCCCGGACAACCCCTCACGGAGCCAAGACGACACAACCAAACGGCATCATTGCCATATCAGCTGAGGAGATCACACACCACCCCCGGCTTGCTGCATGGGAACACGCCGCACACGGGAGGGGACACACAACCTGGTCTTTGCGACGTCAGAACAGCTAGGAGAGAGGGATGCTAAAAGAAGCGGGAAGAGTCACATTGGAAGCGGTGCAGCTAAGAGATCCACAGCTCACAACTAGCAAAAAAAACCAGGCAGGACGCAACAATGACGCCTAGCCCTGCCTTTATCCATTGTACCAAACAAACGACTCCTTGTTGTTCCACAACCGGACTCGATGGTCAATCTAAACAATCACACAGCGCTTCTGAAAGTGGGGGGCACCAGGGAGAAGTTCGGAGGTGGATCGGGAGGGGGAAGGGCGAACAAGCCTCACGCAGCCACCTTTGAGTTCTGAGTCCGTCGCCCTCAGCCAAGCCCCC